TGTGGTCACAAAGCTCTGCACTCTACTACTACTACCCCATTGACATTCGCGATACAGAGGGCTTCATGGGAACTTTGAGGGGAGCCAGAAGTTGGAGTACCAAACACTGACTCCATGTACTCATCTGAGTACCTCACTGAGAAAGTTGTGTGCACCCCTGGCTATATGCCTATATATGGTAGGTTGATAGGACACAGCTGGGGGTGATAGACGGGGAAACGTAAAAGTCTTTTGACCGTGTTCTTTTTGTTACTTTGGAAAATGATACACTTTTTAGTTACTATGAAGCGAAGAAATATGTCCTCCTGTATATATCTGATTCAACTACGATCTCCGCTGAATTGTTTGGAAACAAAGAGGCGCGTCAAAACCCACAACCCCGATAGAGGTGGCTATTAAATTGTAGACAAGGATTAAAACGCCACTTCCTTACAGAGCCCCTCCTCCAACACACACGAACGCGCACATGACCAATGAGGGCACGAGATAAGTTTGTGCACAGATGGAAGGCTGACAGGCAGGTAGCCATTTTATGGATTTTTTGTCAAAGCCCTTCAGATATTCATTGCTATCGGGATGTTAAGAGCATTCCATGGAATATAACAAAAAGTGTATCTCAAGCCGGTTTCTCAAACTTACCTACCCCACCTTTAAGAGCATTAAGAAACATATTATAACATGGCATTTAAAAACACTAATTTAAAAGCAATGATAATTAAACATGAATAACAAAGGTACATGAATTAAAGTTACAGTGCAGTGTGAGATACACACAAGTGTTTCATGCTAAACCAACCCCCCTTTGGAAAATGTTAATCTGCAACCCAATATTCCGAAAATTCAACGGATCCTGGCCAGATTTGTGTCGCATATACAATTAATTTGCTCCCAGGCATTCATGTGGCTTGCTAGTTTTGGACCTCATCTGTAACCCCAATACACGTAGGGGACTTTAGGAGAGGACAGAAGGACAATTCCTGCTGAATTATCTAGTAGATTCCCAACACCTTTATTCAAATTAACACGGGAGAAGAATTTCCTTACCTGTTATCGTCCATGTCTTCGATCTGTCTCTTGACGTAGCTGTCGATGCGCTTGCGGTACGTTCGGTTGGTGAGGCGGCCCACCATGCCGAGCCCGTACGGCCTCTTCTCTTTGGCAAACAGCTTCTTCACAGGAACTACGATCCGATGTCCTCGCTGCTGATGGCTGCTGACGCTCACCACTTCCTGTCTCAGACGCACCTTCGGGTGAACCAGAGGGCCGTCCTTCGCCTTCCTCCATCCTCGCTCCAAAGGCCTGGATGCAGGAGGAGGAGAGTGGAAGAAAACATTGATCACTTATCGTAATATATTGATATCATAAGAGCTTATCTTGAGTGATAGGAAGTTTGAGTTTGTCTCCTCACAACTCCCCTTCGCCAAAAAATATAAACCCACAGCATGAGGTGACTCCTCTCCAGCTCGTTCTTATCCAGCGCACTTCCTGTAAGATCGCTCTCGTCCAGCGGGTCGATGGCGGCCTCCGATGGCGTCTCAAAAACATCGTCTGCGTAGCTCGACAGTTCATCGTGCAGGCCTTCCTACAAAGATACAAATTAAGTGAGGAGGAGTTCAAAGCTACTGCCAATATATATTCAGTTTAAAACAGGGTAAAGGGGTCGTGAAACAGTCGAGAAAGACCTCATAGACAAGTTCAAAAAGGCCAAAAGGATGATTAATAACATTTTCTAGGTGATTCTTATTTGTAACTGAATATGCAAATGTCAAATCCTCACCATTTTACATACAACAAATATTATTTAGTTCATGATCTAGCATCAAAATAATAGACTTCCTACAACAATAATTGACTTGTGAAAATACAGATACTTGCTGGGGATAATATTGTTCAAATAGTTAATTTAAATATTATCCTGGTTTTGTGTGTTAGTGTGTCCACTGCTCACTCTGGTGAAGAAGGAAGTGTCCAGGTCATCAGGGAAGTCTATGGTGTCGTCTTCAAAGAAACTAGGGGGCATGAAACTCCGTTTGCGACATCGCCCGGCCGCGCCGTCGCCTATCGTCCGGCCCTACGGACAAAATGACACACACACACACACACACACACACACACGTCTTTATGATTATCAACGACAGACTGAAGACAAGGACAGTTTATCTGGGGGAATCCCCTCCTTAATGCCAGCGTCTGGCGGCTGAGTGTGTGTGTGGATTAGTTCTGCACTGCTGCAATATTCTAATCCCGCAGATAGCAGAGCATTAGGTGTGTATTATCACGGAACATCTGCCAGTAACTCCCGCCCAACACACACTAGCACTCACTCTTACTTAACATTTGTTTACATGTGCGAGTCTGTAATACTGTAAATATTACAGCTGCGTTTAATCCACGATAAGACAAGCTGAATTAAAATGTTATGTAACGTGCCCACACACACACACACACACACGGATATAGAGATGTAGCTGATCCATGCGCATGTGTAAGAGACAGGGATATGTCAGAAAATAAAAGATGTCATTTTTCTAGGAGTATCTAGAGGGAGAGATTAAAGAATGATGGCGTATAAAGAGCATTTGTAGGTTGTCGGATGCAGGGAAATATTCAGAGAAAATCTCACAATCTACAGGATTTAAATTGTGATTTTTCAAGAAAATAACTTTGATAGTTCCTAAGATTAAAGAGACTTTACAATGATATTCACAGGAAGTATTGAACTTTTGTTGTTGGAAAAATCATGACCGGCTACATTTGAGTTACGGATATCTGTGATGACATACAGACACAAATCCAAGCATCTTATTGTATTAATTATAAGGTGTTTGATGTTTTTTCATTAAACGTTTTTTAGTGTTCAGAGCCTCACAAAATGTCTGAGATTTTTCTCCCAAATATATGACTTAAATATTCAAGTCTTTATCAAAAATGTTGATTGTTTTTTCAGAATATTCCCCCCTCCTCATGCTCTGTATCTCCTTTTTTCTTGTAACTTACAATGGCTCTAATACGCTGTCCTCTTAAAGGGTGCGGGTGTTTTCTGACTAAACTCTGCATCTTAACCCTTAGATGCGTCTAGAGAATATTACATAGAACATATATAGTTACAATGAAAGATGATATGGGATGTCATTGTTGTGGGGTTTTAAATCAAAAGTATATACGTGACCTCATGACACTCCCCAGAGTCTTTATCGCCTCTAGGAAACGTAGGTATGTCACAGTTTCCAAAAAAAGTTTATATTTTTTTACAGCTCATTTTATGCCACTTTTTAAATTTATAGTATAAAGAGATAACACTTGCGTTCTTATATTATGATTTATAATTGTTCACTAACACCGACATTGGTTTTACTATTTTGACCGTATTTTGTGTATAATTTTAGATTATGCCAGGAAAAGCTGGGTGGAATACCTTCTCACATCCCAGTCAGTCAAGTTCCGTCCCCACAGTTTGAGTTCCGGCGCCCGGTTTAGGCCGGCACTAGAGTAGGAAAGACACGCCAGGGTGTTCTCGAACGGTTTCGTTTATATTATGCAAATAATATGCCAATGCCGCTAAATGTCTTCGTACAAGGGGTATCTGATGTACAGGGTGTTACGTAGAGTCTATTACGGCAAAAAAGAGTCTTGAACTAAAAAAAAAAAAAAATTTTTACACACATAAAGATCTTAATCGGGAAAAGAGTCTTAACAGAAAAAAAAAGTTTTAAATGACGCAAAAAAAAAAAAAACTGAAAAAAAGTATTACACAAACAAATAAAAATTTCAAGTAAAAACCCTGGTAAGGTGACTTCTCTGAACGTTAATAAACGGCATCTGGAGACGACAAGTCTACATCAATTAATACTCAGGTAGATGCGATAGTCTATTATTAGGTTACGTCTCCGGTAGTACATTAATATTACCCTGTAATAAGAATATATATAATTTATAAATACATAACAATTATATACAGAATTTTCAATGTTGGCCATGGGGAAAAACTACACGTTGGTACTTACGACGAACACCGGGAACTACTTTAACTCAAAAACCTGTGGGGACTAGATTGAGAACTTTTGTAGAATAGAAACAAAGAGTTTACTTTGTTTGAAAAAATTCGACGGACCACTAAAAACATTTTCTAATAAAGTACGAACAGAATTGTTGTATTTAGAATGAACTAAGAATAACCTTTTAGTGGTTGATTGTAGCTCTTTTGTTTTGTGAAACTCGTAAAGTCAAATAAAACCATTGGTGTTATAAATGACTAGGGTCCGCATTCAGTCGTTCTAGGGGAGGGAAATCAGATTATCAGGGCAAAAGTTCTTTAGATTGGTGTCGTTTAGCAAGTGAAACAAGATAACCGTGTAGAAAAATGAATAATGTACGCTTTTTGTGGAACTGAAAACTCCGTCGTAAAAAAGGTCACGTGTGGTGTGTGACTTTTAGGGGTATACACAAATACTTTGGGAGTTTCACATTAGGAGGGTCTTCTTTGTGGAAACCAGGCGAAATTAGTAACTTCAAAGGTTTGGTCTTGGAATAGGAGCCGTGGGTAGTACCTTATATACAAGAGGTCGCGCAGAGTTTCAAGTCAGGAAATCTTTCGGTATGTTAGTGACACTGTCTAGCAGTAGTGACTCGTCGCGATGGAAACAAAGAGGGGTCTGATCTATTGACGGACGTACACTGACCGACGTGAGACCGTAAGTCTTTGAAACTAAAATTCATTGATTGTCGAAGAGGACCCTTACGACAACGTACATTACATCCGGTTGGTATTAACACACTTTACCGTAAATCTGTGGTTTCTTTTCAATGACCGAATATTACTTCCTACATAAGCTTCACATCTTTCCTGACCTTAAATTTCCCCGTAAATTTCGTCTAAAAAAGGAGCATTCAGACACACTATTAAGCCGACAAATTTTTTGCTTAGACAAAAAGAACAAAACAAATTTATAGAAGAATTGGTAAAGGACTTTATGAGAGGGAT